GGTCTCAGAAAGGACTGCCATGGGAAAGTGTCTCTGGGACACCCCATCAAGGTGAAGCCATTCCCAACCCCTAGGCATTGCCCACAGAGACTGGACACCAGGGAGGCTACCTAGGGTCTCCACAGAGACAGATTGGCACTTAGAGACCACAACAGACTGGTCACTGCAGTGATTTCCATAGAGACAGAACCTGGTCATCAGGGAGACCCCACCTCCTGCCTCCTCCCAGGGGGATGGGAAGGGTCACCATGGTGGCCTGACCCAGAGACAGCAGTCCACCCTCTCAGGTGCAGATAGGGGAGTGGGCAGCTGGCCCTAGCTGACACGGTATGTGGACGTGTTCTTGGGCTCCGTGCTGGGCACACACCAGTCGCCGGCCTCCTGGATGGTCTGGTAGTGGCGCCAGGCTGACTTGTTGTAGACGGGCAGGCGCTCCACTGAGTCCGTGGACAGTGCCTGCAGAGTGCCAGGTCAGCCTCCCACTTCCCTGTGCCCTGCTCACTCTTCAGCAGGCCACCTTGCCCCAGGGCGGGCTGTGCTGGCCACTGACCCCGTACCTCTCCTCAGGTCTGGGTTGGCCCACCCTCCAGACACTAGTGGAAGCCACTACCCTGAACCCAGAAAGGGTCTGTCCCTTCTGTGTCCTGCTCCTGCCCATTCAAGAAAGCTGCTGGCCACTGACCCCGTACCTCTCCTCAGGTCTGGGTTGGCCCACCCTCCAGACACTAGTGGAAGCGACTACCCTGAACCCAGAAAGGGTCTGTCCCTTCTGTGTCCTGCTCCTGCCCATTCAAGAAAGCTGCTCCCTCAACGGGTTAGGAAAGGAGTGGGAGGAGGCTGGACTGTGTGACCTTGACCAAGGTCACCAACTCTAGCCCTCAATCGTCTCCTCTGAGCTGAATGACAAGACCTCTATGGTCCCCTGCCTTTCAGGTCTAATAGTCAAGGGTCCCTAGAACAAAGAGAGATCTTAATCACGCACCACGGACTCCCCGAAATTCCCTGTCAAGTTGTGCATCTCTGGGGGTTGAGGAACTGTGGCTTTGCTCTGATTCTCAGAGTCTGGAACCAGGAAAGGATTGGAGGGATGGACAGGAAACCTAAAGGCAGCCCAATCTACCCAGATCCTGTCAGCAAAGCCCTTCTCCAGCAGGCTCTGCAGGCAGGACCCTCACCTTGAGATAGATGACGGCGTCAGTCCCAAAGCCCTCCATGGAGAAGAGATGCAGGTCCCCTTGGAAGTACTTGGCATAAAGGCGGGAAATAGGGAGCCCGTAACCAAAGCCAGCCTGCAGAGGGGCAGGAAGGCAGTGGTGACGAGGAGGCTGGTGCCTGGCCTCCAGGAGCTGCAGGGACTGACATGGTGAGTGAAGGGTGAGCTGGGGCCATGCAGGGACAGACACAGCTCTGAGGCAAGACGGGGGTGTGGAATGGACCAGGGAAATCACAGAGGGAGGGTGGAAGGCGGCGGTGGGAAGAGGGTTTCTGCTCAGGTAGCCAGGAGGCCGGGCAGGTCATGGGGCTCCTTGGAGTCTCAATTTCCCAGTCCCGACCCTACCTACTCCACCAGGAGTGGGCACGCGGTGGGAAGAGGGTTTCTGCTCAGGTAGCCAGGAGGTCGGGCAGGTCATAGGGCTCCTTGGAGTCTCAATTTCCCAGTCCCGACCCTACCTACTCCACCAGGAGTGGGCACGGAGGTGTTGGCAAGGGAACAATGCCAAGAGAAAGGGTGGCAGTTAGAGGGAAGAGGGAGAAGAGGACAACGTGGCAGACAGACAGGACAGATGGGGGGATGTGCGCAGGTTGGGGGAGATGAGAGTAAGCAGGAGGCCTTGGCTTAGGAGAGGTGACCGATGCCACACACAGCCACACTAGAGGAGGTGAGCAGGGGCGGTCAGGAAGCGAGAGATGGGGAAGAGATGACGAGAGAGCCAGGCGTCCTTTAGGGGGTGAGAGAGCCGTCTCACCAACGGGGTCCCCCCGGTGCCAGGCTGGGGGGTGGGTGCTGTGGAGTACATGTAGCTGAAGAGTCGCTCGATCTTCCTCAAGGGGACACCCCCACCTCGGTCACTCATCTGGGGGAGATGGGATATGTCAGGGCTCTCTAGAGCTCAGTTTTCCACACCCTCCATCCCCTGACACCCCTGACCTTCTCATGGTCTTTCTCACCCCCAGAATCTGCCCTGAGAGCACACCATGTGTGAGAAAAGGAGAGCCCATCTCCTGGCAGGAAGGAAATTCCCAGCCCCACTGCTCCCAGGTCCCCAAGGTCAAGGATCACATACTTTGATGGACAGATCTTCCTCGCCCAAGGCCACCATGACCTTGACAGGTGGGAGAACAAGGCTGGATTCGTGGCTTTCCACAGTGGCCCGCATGGCATTCTGTGAAGGGAAAGAGGTAAGAGGCACGTGAGAAGCCAGTCCCAACCGTGCTCCCCTGCCAAGGCCCAGCCCCCAGCCTCCTCACCTTGAAGAGTTCAAAGAGCATGTGATAGAGGTGGGAGGGGACATAGACCATGTGAATTGGCTGTTTGGAGTTGGCTGCTGCAGAAGTCAAGACCAAAGATCAGGACATTGTCAAGAATTCACTGGTTAACTACTTTATCCAAAGTAGGACCGTTGTAGCTCTTCTTCCCTTTTTCTTTTAGTAACAGACACCCCACCCCCTCCGCAAGGTTTTAATTGAGCACATGGCTGCCCAGCTGAGATGAAATCCCCAGCCGGCCTCGAGCTGGGGGTAGCGGGTGACCTATGGAAGCCACGTGCTCAGCTCCTGGGCCCTGCTTCCACACCCTCGTTCCCTTCTTCCACGCTGGACTGAGATGTGGGGCTGGGAAGTCAGCTCTGGCCACCCTTCCAGGGGTTGGCGACAGGGAAACCTCTCTTCATCGAGCCACTGGTATTTGGACTCTGGGAAGGCAGCCAAACTGATACCCCACCTAACACACCGCTCTTCTTCATCATGATCTGAAATGAGTTTGTGTTAATTCCCCAACTTCCCCGCACCCAGAATGTAAACTCCATGAGAACAGAGACCTTGCTTGTCTTGTTTACTGTTTAATGAACATTTATCAAAACAGTTAATAATACTATAATAATAGCTCTACTTCTTCTCTGTCTAGAAAACAGTCCGTTTCTGACTCCCCATCTCACCTGGCTCTCCCATGCCCCAGCCCTGAGACACACACACACACACAGCCTCACTCACTCACCGTTGACCTCCTGGATCTCCAGGTCAGGTGAGGCCATGTAATACTTGTCACACAGGAGCTTGGCCATGTCATAGGCATCTGAGAGAAGATGGGGCCACTCAGGGCATGAGATGGCCACCCAGCAGGCAGTCCTCTTGGCATCGAATCAACACCGGACATCACCATTAAACCCATGGGGACAAGGCCCCCACCCACTGGGGAATGGGTCACCCTGTGACTAGGTAAGCTTGGAGGGGTCCTCGAGACTCCTCTGCAGGCCAGGCACAGTGGGGCTGGCTCACCTTTCACCACCTCAGAGACGTTGCAGTTGGGGTCGATGCTGCCGATGTGTTTGGGGTGGGCTGGGTTGGTGCTGCCATCAAAGAGGAGGGCTGCGGGCGAAAGGAAGGGTGGTATTGGCTGGGCCACCAAGCTGCTCCGGCGTCCCTCTTCCCCCAAGGCTCTCCTATTTTTGACCTCCATCTCTCACGCCTCGGCAGGCTCCAGTCCTAAAGCTGCACCTCCGCCCTCCCTGTGCCCTGACCCTGGCATCTGTGGCTCGGGCCATTGTTGGACCTTTGCAGGTCTGAGGCTTTCTTCTTTTTAGAGGTCTCTCCCCATGTCACATCCCACGCCACGTTTACTCTTTCCTTTTGCTATAACATCATAAGATCACTTTTATTTACCATCTTGCTTTTGAAATTATTTGAGCATGAGGAATGTGTTGGATTTCTGATTGGCTGTGATTTCACAACCATCATGAATCCTCCTGGAGGAAGAAGCTCTAAACAACCAACTGTTTTTGAATGTAATGAGAGTTCTTATGACCACCACATATAAAATTTTTTGAGGATGTGACAATTTTACATTTTGCAAACATTGAAAACAATGAATTTTGACGCTGTCGCTTTCATTTCCCTCCTGGAGCCTGCCGCTCTTTTCCTTTTCCTCACTGTGCTGGTTGATGAGCATGCGGATGGAGATGCGGCTGAGGTAGAAGCGGTCCAGGAAGTACTGGATGTTCTGGTTGGACACGGGGTCGTCGCCGTAGGCGTCCTTGTACTCCAGCACACCCTGTGCCATGGTGGGCACCACGTCGTTGTGCCGGTTCCGGATGGTGACCAGCGCGTCAGTGAACCTGGGAGGGAGGGCAGATGGTCACCCCCACCCAGTCCCAGGCCTGGGGCCGCCCTCAGACCCACCTCCACTTCTGACCTGCTCTCCACAGTGTCTTCACCCAGTCTACCCCTCCCGATCCAACACACACAGTGCCCTCCCCACTGCTCCCGAAGCCCACCCGGACCCTCCCAGCTGTCTGCCCAACAGCCGGGAGCTCTCAGTGCCTCTGTATGGGAACTCCCCAAGGGCATGGGCCTCTCTCATCAGACTCAGGGCACACTGAGAATGGAATCCGTGTCTCCCCACTCAGACTTGGGACTCGCCGAAAAGGAGTCTGTCTCTCCCCTCAGACTGGACAACCTTGAAGGCAGGGGTCTTTTCTCCCATCCTGCTGGCATCTCTGCCCCTGGGGCTGCCACCCCATTCACCCCTTGCCTACATCTGCCTTCCTCCCCCAACCAGGGCCCTCGCTCACTGGTTCAGGGTACGTTGGTCCTCAGGGTCCTTGTCCAGGAACTCCATGATGTCCAGGAGACTCTGGACATACCTGTGTGCAGGGGTGGGGGCAGGAAGAGACATGGCCTCAGCTCGGGTCCTGGCCAGGCCCCCTGCTCACCCCCTGGGATGGACCTCACTCTTGCTGCTCCTACTGTGGCTGCCACACAGAGCTGTGCCTGTTGACAAGCAACATCACAATTTTTCACAATCCATTTCATTTCTGTGTGAGTCTCCTTGACAACCCAGGTAGTTATGCAAGAAAACTCTTAATTTGCTGATCCTCCCTATAGTGCCTTTGCTTTGGAATCCTAGAATAGTAGTCTTAGAAGAGGCGTGGAGATCATCCCATCCCAGAGGCCTCATGGATCAGGAGACCAAGGCCGAGACTGGAGAGGGAAGGGCCTGACCAAGGGCCTCCAGTGAGAGAAGGCAGGAGAGGTCCATCAACCAATCTGAGCCCC